TTCCAGTTTCCTATATAGGTTCTAAATGTGGAATTCATCACCACACTCCTGCAAATAACTAGAAGAGACTGCAGTAAAACTTACTAGATAACAGATATATCATAAAAAAAAAAAGAAGAATAAACTAGTGATCACACAGAGATCAAGAATCAAAGCAAAGGAAGTCTCTGCAGAGATTTCTAAAAGGTTGGTCAGGGCAGAAATTCTTTCTGGTGTTTTCCTAGATAAAGGCTAAACTCTGGTTTCATATAAAGGCTAACATCTGGTTTCATAGACCCTGGGCCACTTTCGACCTGTCCTTCTGGCAAGATTTTTGTTTGTTTGTTTTTTAAAATCAATCTGTCTTGATTTTTTTTCAGATTCACCAAAGTGGCAAACTGTCTAGCATAAAAGATAAATGACAAGGATATGGTTGTTTTATGAACTAGTCTCTACTTGAACCCTTCTCTTCTCTCTCGGGTGGTTGAACTCAGAGCCTTTCATTTGAGTTTTCCAACTGAAGTGCCAGTTGGCTTCATTTAGAACTGTGGTTCTGTCTCAGTGAGAGGAGCTTTTCTTCTAAAAGCTGTAAGATGTAGAAGAGCCCCACCCTACAGACAAAACAAAACCAAAATCCCTCAGAAAACTCCTCTGTCCTAAGTACTGAATTTGTGATTTTGTTAGCTGCAGGCTAGAATGTAGATTCAAGCTACATATATTTTTAATTCTGGTTCTTACAGCTAAATGTACTCACAGTGTTAGCTAAATGGGATTTTCATGTATTAAAAAACCCAAAAGGGTCTTTTGTTTATTTGTATTCATTAACTTGGCAGTTTTCATTAATGCAGTAGTGAGTAATATGCCCTAGGTAATGGCAGGAGAAGATACTGACAGAGGGCACTCGCTTAGGTCTTGGCTTGCACTGCTGGCACTCAGAGCCCTCCTGAGTCGCTTGATCACCAGGTGTAGGGTGGCTATAGTATTATCTTGTGATGTTGGCTCTGGAAGTCCAGCTTTACTCCCCAATGGAATTTATGTTTTGGTAATTATGTTTGAATAAAGTACTGAGGGATAGGATCTTTCTTATCTCTGGGCCTTAGTTTAAAATAGCAGTCATACACAGGCTTAACTTTGTGCATGTGTCAAATATTTATGTGATGTCCTAAATAATGTCAATTTCCTCAGTCATTGACCTACATCTTACAAACTGAATCTCTGTACAACTGCTTTTGGATAGCTGAATGGTGTTTGCCCCAAGCAAAGGAGAATGAGGATCTACTGCCATGGGTGAGGGTAAAAAAAACAATAGTGGGATGAAATTCTTAAAAATAAAATTTGGAGTGTTAAATATTTTCTGTATAAATAATGTGGATGGCCATAACTTAATCCTGTAGCAAGACAGCCTACAGGAAAGAATTCTGCCCCACATCCCACACTGGACAGCCGACACAAGGTGCAAGGATAATATAATCTATATGATCACTGGGATTAGATGCAGTTATAGACCAAAAGTTTTCTTTATGACACTGATGAAAGTACTGCTGTAGTCCTGGGACTCTGTATTCTCAGTTCTGCTTGGCCTTGCAAATGCAGGCCACACAACTTCCCTTTCTTGTCTCTCCTGAGGGTGCTGGCATTGCTGCACAGGAGCCACCCCTCCTGCCCCATGGACCTCTGTTTCCCAGCTCATGTTCTATGTGGTCAGAACTTACCCAGTGCAAAATAAATGTACACTGTTATTTTCCTGCAGTAATGCACCAGGTTAACACTCCAGTGTGATTGGGCAAAGTTAGTTGTTTTTTCCATAGTGTGAATTGTACTGAAATGATTTGTACTCCATATGATCCAGATGTAATTTTTGCTGCACTGTGCAGGAGAGCTGCAGTACTCAGATCTTCTGAAAACTTGTCCCTGTCAAAAAGGAGATGAGACAGATGTGCGGTATGGTTTCTTTTGCTCTATAGGAACTTCAATAGCTTGGGTTAAATAAAGGAAAGCTAAATCTCATATCTTTTATCATCATAATGAGTTTTCCCCAAGTAGGCTGGGACAGTTGTGCTTATGTGAGGGAATCCGTGCTCTTGGTTAAATATTTGCTATTGAAGCCCTAGTCCTCATTAAATGTTCTCAATAAACAATGTTTTAAAAAGCAAACAGCTAAATTCTATGGGTTTATTCACAGCACTGAAGTTGCTTGCTAGCAGCAGCTTCCTGTGTTCCCTGGTAATGTACAAGAATCTCTTAAATATTTAGAATATTGTAAGCATTTAATACCGTGCGTTTGCAAATAAATTCAAGTAACTTCAGTTTACCTGAAGTATTTTAATCTGTTTTAGGAGATGAATATGTGATCATGTTTACAGAAAGGTTTCCCTTTCTGTAAACATGCTTAGATACGTTTTCCCTTTCATGCTTAGAAACATGCAGGGGAAAATAGGTTCATTATTACCATAGGGACTCAGTTCTTATTTGCTTTGCCTAAAAGATTGTGGTCCATATTTTGCTTTCATAAATTATTAAAGTGAGTACATAAAGTTTAATATAAAGTATAGTTAAAGTTATAATTAAATACTTAAAGTTATAGAACATGGAGTTCTATTTTCTAACAATAAAAATTGTGTTAGTCCCTGTTAAGAATATTTTACTGTGAGTTGTATACTCATTTAATGAAAATGCTACAAATGTTTATTTATTTAAATGAAATAGTGTCTAGAATCCGTTATGTTTTATACCTAAAGTAATTTCGACAAATGTAGTTATATCTGCAAATATAACTTAGATGTCCCATCATTTGTCACTTTGCATGTGATTTATAGTAATTTTATTCCATTTAATTTTGGACATGAGAAAGCCTTCCTGGTCAGTTTATCTCCTGTTTACTTTCTGGTACTCCTGTTGATACTTGTATTGTATGTGTGTGCACATATATAATATATATATTCATTTGTATTATCTATTACAGTACAATGTATCATAACTATGGAGAGAATGAAACCCAATAGCCTCACCCTGTGGCTTGTTCCACATCTGACAAGGTGAGATTATTGATTCCAAGACAATCGATTCCAATATGGATTTTTATAGCAGAGTCTGCATTTTATATTAAATTATAATATAATACAGCTATGATACTATATGTATACCATTATTGCAGTAGTCCTAGCTGTCCTAGATACTTCCTCAACATAAGGAAGGAGAAGGAAAAACTCCTTCCTACCAGCTCACAGCTGATGACCTGAAGTTACCGATTTAAATATGAATATACACATACAATATTTTGTCCTGTCTTATTTGCCATTTTGTTATGCAGGGATAGTATTATTGCTAATTGTGGAATCATCCTTGAAGAAACGCTGTGTAACTCAGGAGTATTAATAGACAATACAGCAGTTATGCAGCTGTTACTGACTGTAGTAGTGAAGGCTCATTGCACAGCCAAACTTTTTAAGCGGTAGGGAGAGCTGCATGGAGTAGATGGAAATGTACTGCTGCTAACCTTGTTAAAGAAGTACTGATCACAGACAAAGCAAGGTGGAAAATTGTCAGAACCTAATGGAACTTCAGGAAAAGTTTCAGGACTAAGATAAACTTCAAAGACATAAAGGCAGAAAAGTCGTTAAGTCTCTGGTGTGATCATAAACCACAAGGATTTTCAGTCTCCAGACTTTAAGATTCAGTGAATCCTTTGGCCTCTTTTAACTCTGTAATGTATACAGAAATGTTTATATTGTCCTGTGTAATTTTGTAAATACTCGTTTTTTGTGTGACAGAGTCACACCAGGTGATAATTGGGCTGGAGTGAGTGGCTGGATGAACGGCAGCAGCTGTCTGGTGGCATGCAGTCCTGTGCAGGAGTGTGGGGCTGCAGCACGCTGCTGCAGGTGCTGTGTCTGCAGTGTGCAGCCCTCAGGCTTGCCCAGCTCTGGGTAACTGTTCTTGCTTGGAGTGTCAACTGCTATGGAGAAGTCATGCACAATTTATTGGGGAAAGAAAGGTTGTGGTGTGTTTGACTGTTGTATGGTCATTTCACAGACACCCAGTCAAATCTGACACTAATATTTCAGTGAAGACCAGCTCTCAAGTAAGGAGAACAGGAGCCCTGAGCCATTTCAGACATACTCATTCACCATCATTCTAATAAATAGTGACTACACAGCAGTTAGCTGTCAGGTTTTTAAAGGTTTTTACTATTTTGTAGATCTAATAATGAATTACATGTGGAAGTGTTGGAGCAATAGCTATCTAACACACTGGATTGCAGTGGTAGGTATTTTGCTGCATCATGTTTTTCTCCACATTCATTTATTTCACCAAACAATCAACTCAAACCTGCATATGCAGCTCCCACAGTTCAGATAATTGCAAGTATATAAAGCCAAATTGTTCACTGCATGGTATATGAATGTCTCTTTCATCTTTCCAGAGACAAACCACCAACTTGTAAATTTTAATATCAGAATGACAGGATGTACTTTTAGCTTGAGCAATTGCTGTTTGTTCTGTGCAGGCATGAAAACAGTAGGAAAGGTGAATTGTTCTTACCAGATAGGTATCAAATTGTATCAGTAATTGTACTAGTACTATTTTTAGGTTTTAGTATCATGCATTCCTTTATTTTTGTATGAAAACTAGAAGTCCTCTTCAATCCTATCAATTGTATAAATGTTGCAGTAAGACATTTGCCATCAGGTAAATTAGCCCACAGCCTACAGACTCAAAATATTTATGTTTTGCTCCCCTTTCTTGCTTTGTAGGTGTAATTGATCTATCTCTGGGTTTTGCACTCCACCCATCTTGAAACATGATAAGCATCACAGGCTTTGTTTGGTCTTCCTCCCCGCCCACCCCCTTCCCTTTCTATTTCACAATCTTGTTTGCATCCAAGATGAGGCTCTGGTGCTCTAATAAAGTAGCAAGTAGACCATTTGTCTCAGCTGTGAGCTGTAGTTTCCTGTCTTACCCTGTTCTCTGTCTGTTCAGCCTCAGTAGATACAGATAAACGCTGATTCTGGAAGGTGAACCATATGGTTTGGGTAATGTTGCTCCTTTATTACGAGACAGCTAAAAGAGCATTTGGGGGAGAGGAAGGAGATGGGAAAGGAAATTGTTTGGAAGTGATCTAAATTAGCTTTGCTGATCTGTTATTTTGGGTCAGTTGGTCACCTGCAGCCTGTAGTTAGAACTGCAAATGAGCAAGATGTTCTTCTGTTTAAAGTCACTGAGCTTTTTTTTTCTTTATAAAGCCCGGTTCCTGATGTATGTAAATTGAAGAAGATTACAGCTTTCATTTTAAATGACATGTTTGTAGTCCTTCTGGTTGTAAAGCATGAGTTGAAGATAGAACACTGGCAAAGCAAAAGTGCTCCTGAGTTTTTAGGGGTACTTGTTATGATTCTTGAATTTGGGGTTGGCAATTCTGCTAGTAGTTTTCTATTTAGACCAAGTGTAATGCAAAGTCAGTGGCTAAAGGCTGAAATGCAAATAGATTAAAAGGTTCTTTTGCCCCAGATACAAAGAAAGAAAGTGAAGAAAACAGTCTGCATGTAGAAAGATGAAGCAAAAGAGAGAAACTGAAAAGCAAAACAAAGCAAAGAGAAAGCTCTGAAAATATTTATTCGTCTGAGCCTGTGGTCTAGAGAGCCCAGTTTACAGACACAGATCTAAGATCAGGGTTGGAGGATCCAGAACACCCAGGTTCTCTCCTGCTCTCAGCTGTATGAGCTTGGTGTGTCACTTTGAAAATGGTGTGCCGAGCCCATGCCTTTTGCAGTGAGGCTTTACAAATCAGTTGTGTAGGAGTACAGCAAGTTTTTTTATGTGAAAGAAGGTGTTTATTCTTTTTGCACTCTCATGGAATTTCCATGGTGAGAAAATATCAATAAATCCCCTGTGTAGTTTCACCAGTTTACTGCCATACAGGTGAGAACGAAAACGAATTTCTCTTTGCTTCCCTTAACTCATTGCAGCTTGGTGTGCATCTGACCCTTGTTATCCTTTATCTCAGACCTACTTTGGTCTTGTTACATCCTTTGGGATGAGGTGTCTGACCTCATTCTGGCTCTGCATCTCTCCCTCATCTTGGTTGCTGTGCTGTGATCAATCAGCTCTTTTGCCGTTTGTCCCTCCCTCTCATTTCAGGCCTGCCAGTTGTTGTTTGAACATGTGCCGTGATCTCAGAGGGAGAGGAGGGGAGTGCTTGGCTGCCCTGGGCTTTCCCAGAGCCTCTGGAAGAAACCTTCTGGTGCCTCTGCAAGAAAATTCTCCTGCGATAGCACTGTGGGAGCTGAGGGAAGGGAGGGACAGCAACCTGAGCTCTGACAGGAAAGGGCATGGGGATCAAAAAGTGAACCAAGCATTGCAGAGAGCAGAGTATGAGAGTTGGTTGATACATAGTGGATGTATGTTTGATTTTGTAACATTTTTAGCTGATATTTGCAGGAAGCAGACTGATACCCATTGTGGGAACTTGTTTGTCCCTAAATATAGGAAACAAAGCTTTGATAATTTTCCACTCCCCAGGTCACACAGTATTTCTGCCATAGGCAGGAGTACTGGTTTGCAGGTGTGGGAAATGTAATTCTTCAATTTTACATTGCATTCTAGAATCATGAAAAGTAGCCTTGTAGAGAACATTGACAGATGGTCCCATCATGTTTGATGTGGAAAGATCTTAATTTCTGATGGTTTATCCTGGTGTTTAGATGTTGTTAGCATTAGAAATGTCTTCTTAATGCCCAACATAATGTCTAATCTTTTTAGTTCTCTTTTTTCCTTAGTGTCCATCCCTTAAATATTTCAAGAATGTTTTTACATTTTGCTTCAGATTATACTAAATTGCCAAATTGTTTAATTTTTTAATATTCTTTCTCAAAAACTATTTAATTTTATTTCTAATAATTCCCGTGCTGTTATCTGGATTCTCTAATCTATTTATGTCTTGAACTCTAGTGCCCAGCTTTCCTACATACACATCCTGTCACTCCCAGAGGCATCTGACACACAGGGTTTCTGAGGCTTGAAAAAATGGGATCTCCCAAGTGCAGTGTCTGCCTTTGGGCACCCACATCAGTCTGGGACAGATTAAGCTTTCAAGCAGTTACTTTCTTCTGTTGCCTGCCTATTGTTTGCTTCAGGCGCTTACAAGAAAATATAAAGGGACTGTATAAATTTCTGTCTTCTTTCCAGCTTTTTTCCAGCTGTAGAATCCCTTTTTTGGTTTTGTCTCTCCAAATGGATTTCCAGCCTGCAATGGTAAAGGCCTTGCACAGTTGTAGTGTGGTTTAGGATGTAAATGGTGATTTATCTTCTGATTTTGATGATGCTTGAAATTCCTGTGCAAATGTCAGCCTGCCCTGGTTACCATGAGTGAGTACAGCTAGAGACAAGGAAAGACTTGAAATAAGCAACAATGTCATTTCTCAGTCAGCTACAAAGACTTCTTGTAGAGCAATGCAATTCATGCGAAGTCATCTCATCCAGACTGAGCACTACCTTTGACTGCTTTTCCCTTCTGTATCACAAATAGAAACCTAGACTGGAGATTGTACCAATGGCATGCCTGAGATCTGATCAAAGTGTTGGATTTAAATATTGCTGCAGATGAAGAGTCCTGCTTAATTAACTAGACAGGCGTGATTAAAGCTTTCACACTGCCTCTGCAGGTGTGATTGAGTCAAGCTGTAGCAGACGTAGAGAACTGCAGTGGATCTGTACTGGGACAGAACCTCAGGGTGGCTGGCTGGTAAAAACACCTGACTTCTGCAAATCACCTTCAGCCTTCTGTAAATGCCATTAGTCTGAAGAGATATTGGCTCCCTTTGAACTGCAGATCTCAAGGGCAGTGTAAGAGAAAACAGCTCTGTGATGAGAAAAGTTCCTTCACTCTTCCTAATGGGTCTTCCTCCTTGCTTACACAGCTGAGTGCCATATGTCTCATGAGGCCATGAGACACTGAGTGCCCAAAGCTGAATGTTGCTCTGATATGCCTCTTCAAACCTAGGGACAGAAAAGCAGAATTGACTATTCTGGCACTGTGGCTCATCTTAGGCCTGTCTGCCCTTTCCAGTGCTATCAGCAGAAGAACTTGTTACAAACCAGCTGGCAATGCTACTTCCTACAGTTCTGGAAACAGTCACAATTTCATGTCATGTATCTTTGAGCTGCAGAGAGGGCCATAGATTTCTAAGTGCTTATTATTTAAAGGTTGGTATGAGGTGATGGGACTGTGGAACTGAGTTACAGACACATTTAGGTTCATGTGAAGGTACTGGGTCATTCTCACTGCTATTCCTGTTGCTGAAATTATTTTTATGGAAGCATATGTGCCACACAAATAATGCCTTGTTGCAGTTAATCTGTTTTATGACTCATGGAATAAATTTTGTGACCATTCTTAACCTTTTGTTTTGTACTTCTGGTTTTGCTGTGGTCAGTTCTAACAGGTCAATTTGCTGGTTCCCAAACCACTTTGCTTATCTAAAATGAGGACACTTTTAAAATTTTTTTTAACAAGTGCAGTTGTTTAGTCCTTAAAAATCTTTGTAGACCAGTCTTATTTTGTCTCAGTAATACAATTTCAATTAAAACAAAAAAGAAACAAACCATCTGATCGCAGAGTGCTGTTTATGTATTCCCTGGGGATTTGTAGTTAAGTTACCACTAGCTAAGTCATAGGACCAACATTTCCAGGGCTCCTGCCTCAAGGATATGTTAGGATCTGTTTGAGTGTACATATTGGGTGTGAAACCTCACATGATTGGGCCAGGAGTTTGGTTTGCGCGAATCAAGCTGCTGGTTCAGTTGTGAAGCAGAGCTGCTGCCAGTAACACCAAACCCACATCCTTTCTGCTGACATCTTGTGGCCCAGGGTGTCAGAATGGGCAAATGCTGATCCCTGAGAGGGATCACACTGCTTGCCCCTTCCCTGAGAACACCTCTTTTACAGAGGGGTTGCTACAGTCCTTTGCACTAGTGACCCTGACTGCTGAGCTTGCCACCAAGGAGTGATGCCTATCTTGGGGATCTGAGCAGTTTACTAAGAAACAGCTTTAAACCCATGAGTCTCATTTTGCTGGATGTCTGCCAGATGTTTACTACCTTTGTACATGACAGAATGGGCTTAGATTTTAAAAAAGCCTAACAACATCATCCATATCCTCTTACATCTGCTTTTATTTACAGTAAATCACATTAGTGATAACACTTCTCTCTTGAAGATTTTGCCTGCTTGTGCTTCTGGCATGCTAGTATGATTTGGAACAACCTGTCATGGGATACATGGGGGAAATACTTGTCAGGAAAGAGGGGAAAACATAAAAGATTGCATTCAGGGATTATTTTGGATGCTGAGGAAGCTGACAATGAGAGAATGTTCAAAATGAATGATGTTGAAAGTGTGTGTGTCACTGGTGGAGGGCCTTGCTTTGGCAGCAGACTCCTGATAAGAACTCACTAAAATGCAAATTCTTATCTCAGATAGATAGGTGGGTTTCAGCTGCACAGCAAAGTCTCTGGTCCCATGGGACTTTCTGGCTAATCTGACAACTGCTTTGAACGAATCACCTCACAGGAAGCCTTGGCTGTTGACCTCATCACTAGGTGGCTAAAGAAGGCCCTTCCATTTTGTATGAAGGAACAGTAATGGAAAGCTGTAAAAGTTTTTTGGACTCTCAAAGCTGATTCTTAAATAACATCCATGTTGTTGTGGGAAAAGTGGACAAGCTTAATGTAGGTATGCATGAGTAGGCTGTGTGCTATTTTATATGTAGGTCACAGAGGAGAAGGCATGGATGCAAAAGTTTCTCTGTGTTAGACCTGATCAGTGGTTAATGCCCTGTATTGTTAAGCAAGAGACTTAGGCTACAAATGTAGTAAACAAAACAGTGCCAGGCTTTACTCTTTGGCCCTGTGGCCAGCTGGTATGGTCTGGTCCTGTCCTGTAGCATTACACTCTGAATCTCAGAGAAGGATGGCTGCATTTCGACTGCCTTCTGGGAATGGTCCTTGGCCTATCCTAACTGGAACCGTGCCTGAC